CAGACTCTTCCGAAGTGAAGACCGGTGTCAGGCAAGGTTGCTTACTCTCACCCTTTCTCTTTCTCCTGGTCATCGACTGGACTATGAAGACGTCGACATCTGGAGTGAAGCACGGTATCAACTGGACAGTTAGGACGCAGCTGGACGATCTGGACGTCGCAGATGACCTGGCTCTTCTATCTCACACGCAACAACAAATGCAAGAGAAGACGACCAGTGTAGCAGCAGCCTCTGCAGCAGTAGCTCTCAACATACATAAAGGAAAAAGCGAGATTCTCAGATGCAACACAACATGCACCAATCAAATTACTCTTGATGGAGATGCCTTGGAGGACGTTAACACCTTTACATATCTAGGCAGCATCATCGACAACCAAGGTAGATCCGATGTAGATGTGAGGGTGCGGATCGGCAAAGCAAGGGCTGCATTTCTACAGTTGAAAAATATCTGCAACTCCAAACAACTTTCAACCGAAACCAAAATCAGGATTTTCAATACAAATGTGAAGACAGTTCTACTGTATGGAGCGGAAACATGGAGAACTACCAAAGCCATCATTCAGAAGATACAAGTGTTAATTAACAGTTGTCTACGCAAAATACTTCGTATTCGTTGGCCAGACACCATCAGCAACAACGTATTGTGGGAGAGAACAAACCAGATTCCTCTGGTGGAGGAGGAAATCAGGAAGAAGCGGTGGAAGTGGATAGGACACACACTACGAAAAGCACCCAACTGCGTCACGAGACAAGCCCTCACATGGAACCCTCAAGGCAAAAGGAAAAGAGGAAGGCCAAAGAATACATTACGCCGAGAAATAGAGAAAGATATGAGAGGAATGAACAAACATTGGACAGAACTGGAGAGAGAAGCCCAGGACAGAGTTGGTTGGAGAAAACTTGTGTGCGGCCTATGCTTCATTTGGGGTAACAGGCGTAAGTAAGTAAGTAAGTAAGTAAGTAGTAGTGGTAGTAGTAGTAGTAGTATTCACTAAATAATTAGCAATGAATTATGTATTCAATTTTAAAGCTTTACATAATGTTGGCCTATGGAAAAAACACGTATCAATAAATATCAGAAGTCGAAATATTCGTTAGAATAGCTTTCACGCCCCAATTGGATTCGACAATCGATCTACCTTGATTCATTACTTCACATCATCTATCTGCACTACTGCAGTACAAAACAGATAACTTTGTTGTCAATATTCAAATCTTTCTATAAGTATTCACTTATGTTTGTTTACTATTAAACAGTCTCATATTTAAAAACCAACCAATCATGACTTCATTTGATCGACTGCATTGTATTCTTCCAATTGTAATGCGGATTATGTGTATTGTGTGTGTGTGTGTGTGACAAACTATAAACCAATTGTTACACATTCAAATGTCTAATCATGAGCAATTTCTTTTATTCATTTCGAATGATAATAAGTTTTACTATTTTTTTAAAAAAAAAAGAAAATCGATATTCCCGGAATGCGTTACCAGTGAATAAAAAATTCATAAAACTTTCTAGACAAACTCGTTGTATATCTTTATTTTATCGATTGTATATATATATATATATATATGGATATGAACTGACATACTAAGGAGAATTATCTCTTAAATTTGGCATTCATTTGTTTGCCTGTGTAATTTAAGTATGTATACAAGCGAGTTCGAAGTGTGATACTTCTTATGCTAATTGAAAATATTGCTTCAGGATTGGTTGTCGTCGGTATTTCGACTAGTGATAGAGAGTGAGGTAGTGAAGTGTGTTGACTGTTTTACTAATTTGGGGAGTCTCATCAGTGGTGATAGTCTGGTCACTTATGGCGTTGGCGAGATATCCGTTCGCTAATCAAACATTGTTACTAATGAGCAACAGTTCGCTCTGTCCTACTATGTGGATGCTATACATGGCCGATAAGAGTAGAGGATATTCGTAAGTTACTGGTATTCGATCATCGGTGTCGTATATCCCGGGACAATTGAGTAAGCAATGCTGTCGTTAGGAAACGAGTTCTAGGTAAGAATGGCAGGTCAATAGATAAAGTATGGAAACTTCATCAGTTGAGGTGGTTGAGCCATGTGTTACGAATGCTCAACCACCGACTGCCTCGTCGAGCTATGTTTTTTTGGTGTAGGAATATGTCGGAAGAAAGGTAGAGGTGGCCAAATCAAAACGTGACACAAGTGCATGAAGTCATTGACAACTGGACTGAGTAATTTTGGTAAATGTAGACTACCTGATTGTCGTCCGTGAGATGATAATAATTGATGATTAGAGACCTTGAATGACATGGCTCAAAATCGTTTGCAATGACGCAGGTACATTTACTCTTGGTGTTCTCTCAAATCATAACCTTCTGAATTAAATCATTTTTTAAACTTATTTCACTGATTGATAACTCTTGGATTATATCTTCTATCACTAATCTTTTCGATTACTGCTAATACTTCTACTGCCTCTACCACTACGTGATTTGAACTGACAATTCCATATCTCCTCTGTATGCTAGTGTGTATGGCAAATTGAACTGATGTACACATATATAAGGTTCTTTGTTGTCACTCGCTGACTGACTGACTTGTGAAGCGAACAACTATCTCTATACCAGATAGAACAGCAGTTTGCTTCATAAGAATCCAGTTTACTAACAAAATATGAACATCCAATCATTAGACTACCAACTGGAACCAAAGCACAGAGTATTCACCATCTCCTTTTACATCATTTATTCTGGTTTTAAAAAAACTTTGATCATGCTATGCATTTCTAGTTGGTGACATTCTTCTCTTCAGTAATAACTTCTAAGCAGCACTTCACTGAATACTACTTACAAACCACATTACAAGTAGTATCGATCATAGAAAAGAAAAAAGAAATCATTGACAAAGCATAAATTCCTGCCTCATAATTACGAATTGATTTTTTTTAATCAATACGAATTGTTAGTTTAATGTTATTTTTTTCTAAGCAAAAAAATCATTAAGTATCAGTTAAATTGTGATTATTGATTATGTCATGTGATCAACTTTACTTGTTTCATTTCACATGAAAATAATCGATCGATACAACTAATTCAGAAGGTCAAACAGTTAGTTGATTATTAATCAATAATAGAGAAAGTATTGTTTTAACAAATAAAAGTGCATGAATCAACAATATGCTGAGATAAAAATTAAATTGAACAGATTGAAAATGGGGTTTTGAAGTGCTCTTACTAGGTAGAGAGAGGGAGATTAAGTGATAATACTTATCACATTTTTTTATTTGATAATTGACAAGAAAAGATTTTAGAGTTGAGTAATCAATATGTGGTAGTAGAGATGGTTGAGTTTCATTGACATCATGTACTGATCAGTAGACCAACTCATTAGGAACATGAAAGCACTGGACAAGCGTTTCGACCTGATATGTGACTCACCAGCATTGTGCACCCACAAATCTTCCTACAAACCCCTCTTATTGGAAATTATCTTGTGCTCCATACTGACTAGCTTCATGACAAAATTCTCAGAGTTCTAGCAAGAAGAAGTGACTAGTGGAGTTCAATAGACTCAGATGTGTTGCAGTTACCCATTGAAGACAACACATGATAGTCATTCAGTGTTGTGAATTGATTGAAGTTAGACATAGGCACTGTTGGATGTCGGTTCGTTGTTTTATTGATGAAGCATCTTCATGCGAAACCTAACGTCCTGATATCGTCTCCTACTGATGAGTTTGTAGTTGCTTACTGTTATCAAACCCGATACTAGGTCGAAACGGTCCGTTTGATGCTGCTAAGTTATTAATGATCTACACTCTGGAATCATGAATCAATCATTGTTAGGCATTGGACGGCCGTTTTGTCCTGCGGGTAGCAGGAGTCCTGGATGCTCATTGCTGATAAGTCCAATAACAGGACGAAACGGCCGTATTTCAGTGCTTTCAGGTTTCTAATAGTAATGTAACAATGATTCATTCATGATTTCAACGTGTAAAAACAATGATCTCCATAACTCTAAATGAAACATCGTACAACGTGCTCACTAGTGACTAGCTTCATGAGGGAATTATCGGAGTTCTAGTCAGAAGCCTTGACCAGTGGTTACTGCCTACACCCGACAGGTGTAGGTAGTAACCATAGAAGACAATGGGTGAGGTCGCGTAAAATCCCTAGATTGATCAGTATTAAACATTACTATCGTCGGAGGCCGGCCGTCTCAGAGGTTAAGCCTTCGCGCTTAATGTACCGGGTTTGAATCCTGCTTGTAGAAGAAGTCGTGGATCTGCATTAATGATGAGTCCCATACTAGGCATGATAAAACGGCTGTCTTTCAGTGTTTTTTAGGTTTTTAATACTGGTCTTATTGTGGTGCTGTGGTGCGAACTACTTATAAGTAGTATATAACGTGAGTGTCAACGTAAAGTCTGGTAGCATAATATGGGGGGGAAGATCAAGAAAGGAAGAGTTAGAAACAATGGAATTTGTATGAAACACATGAATAGTGACAATGGATTGATGTTTGGCAACAGGAACAGTCCAGTTCCATAGGATGAACTGATATTTTGCAAATGAACGATTTACGATATGGTTTTCCGATTTTACTGAGTAACTCTGTAATTTTCGTTTAATAAAATTCGGTTGCCCCACCTGTGTTCTCATTCACTAGATTATAACAATGATTGGTTCTTGATTTCATTGTGTAAAAACAATGATCTCAAATAACTTGAATGATACAGTCTACCATTGATCATGACATGATTTCAACTACGAAAATATTTTCTGCTGTGAACACTGACATCGTTATGCAAAGTAACAAGGAACTATCACACACTTATCTATCAGATCCTTAGGTCCATTCTGTCTAACTGCCCATATCTGTATATCAGTGACCTTGACTACAGTCATTTATGTCCCTGTGTAGCGCAGATATTTATATTTCTATAGAAATTGAACAAGAAAATCTTTTTAAATGATTTATCTCTCTCTATCTATCTATCTATTTGTTTTTCTTCACAGATTTTAGCTCTACTCTTATCATTTATTAGTTGTTTATTATTTATTGTTGGTTCAGTGAGTACATCATGGATTCATATAAAATTTAAATCAATTGGTTTATTTCAACAATGTGATGATCATTTATTAAAACAATCTAATCATGTTCAATTATCAATGAATACAAATAGTAATAATAATAATAATGGATTAAATGAATTTGAACGAATTTGTCAATTTCGTAATTTTTTAAATAGTAAGTTGACAGTGTTTAAATTATTCAATAAACCTGTTATTATAATTAAAATTATACACTTTTCAGTGTATAGTTGTTGAGAGTAGTGATTTCATTCGAAATTCTGAATCAATTAATGTTGATAGGGTTACGCAGGATTGTGGATTGAACAAACTAAAAACATTAACACCGTTCGATGACAGGTCAGGTTAAGCGCTGGCGCGTGAGGTCGAAGGTTCTGGGTTGGATTCCTTCGAGCAGTAGTCATGGATGCGCAGTGCTAGTTAGTCCCATTCACTTACTTACATATGCCTGTTACTCATAATGAAGTACGGGCCTCCGACCAACATTCTCCAACTCATTCAGTCTTGTGCCTTGCTTTCCAGTTCTATTCTTTTCATGTCTGCTCTGAATTCTCGGTATAATGTGCTTCTTTACCTACCTGAATGTGAGTCTGCTCTGAATTCTCGGTATAATGTGCTTCTTTACCTACCTGAATGTGAGTTAGTGAATACGTCTTCAACCACCATTGGTCATTGTTATCACATAGGTTTCGGCCAAATTGTCTCCATCCCAATCTCACAGTCAGTGACAACTACATAGACTTTAATTATACTGTTGAACGTTAAACAATAGCGCCCTGAATAGAAAAAGACATGAGAAAAATGAACAAAAATTGAACAGAACTGTAAAAGGAAGTCCAGGGCAGAGTAGGTTGGAGAATACTGGTCGGCGGCCTTCCTCTTTTCCTGTGGCCATAAAGATTCCAAGTGTAGACCGTTTTTGTAACGCAGTTGGGTGCTTTCCTCAATATGAGTCCTATCCACTATCAGCTATTCTTCCTGATTTCTCCCTCCGCTAAAAACTAGTTTGTTCTCTCTCACACAAAGTTGCTGCTGATTGTATCAAGCCAATGGATTCGAAGTATTTTCCACAGGCAACTGGTAATGAACACTAGTATCATCTGATTGATGGCTTTGGTAGTTCTCCAAGAGTCCGATCCATACAACAGAACTGTCTTGACATTTGTACTGCAAATTATGACTTTGATATTAGCTCCTAGTTGTTCTGAGTTCCTGATGTTGTTCAGTTGTAAAAATGTGGCCCTTGCTTTCCCGACCCACGTCTTCACATCTGCGTCTGATCCCCTATGCTCGTCAATGATGCTGCCCAGACATGAAAAGGTTTTTACGTCCTCCAACGCATCTCCATCAAGTGTAATTTAGTTGGCGCATGTTGTATCCAAAGGCTAGAACAAGTGATGTAGACTCGACATGCCCGCGCACACCACAAACAAAATCTGTAAGAAATGGTATTCAGTGTCTGAGTGTTAAAAGATTAAATTTCCTATTAATTATTCACCTGATGAGAAACATTTGTTAAAAACAACTGGATTGATTCAAGTCATTTATATAATACAAAATATGAAGGCATTCAACGGATGAATCTATCTTCTTTGACTGATTGATTACAGTTTAACCATTCTAGATACATCAGATCGCGTCTGTTGTTAGGAAACGGGTACCAGGTAAAGATGGCAGATCAATTCATGAGGTAGTGAATCTTGATCATTTGAAGTGGTTGTAGGACATGTGTTACGTATGCCTAACCAACTACCGACTGCCTTGTCGAGCTATGTTTTGTGATGTAGGAGTAGGTTGGGAGAAAGCTAGGGGTGGCCAAACTAAAATATGGCACAAATCCATCAAGTTATAGACAAGTGCATTGAGTCATGTTAGTAGATGTAGACTACCTGGTTGGGATCCTCAAGACAAGAGTAACCAATGGTTAAAGGCTTTGAAGGACATAGCTCAAAATCGTTTGTAATGATGCACGTGCATTCATTTTCTGTCTTCTGAATTCCTTGTCACCTTAATCTTTCTCTTTGTAAGTTTATTTCACTAGATTTAACTTCTTGAACAATTACAGCTATTACCTCCACTACCTGTGAGAAGTTTGAGGCAGGCACGGAAGATTGTATTACATAAATTTACATTCCGATTCAATTAAAAACGAAAACATTACATTGAATACTCTATTTGCACACCATCTTTGATTCGTGACTTCCAACGCTCCATCCTTCTTCCATTCTTGCTGTTGCTTCTTTTCCTTCCTGTTGGTACTCCATTTACTTCTTGCTTTTGCTCCATTTGCTTTCCGTTTTCCTCTTGTGACCGTGCGACTTCTTCTTTCACGTCCCTTCTTATACTACTTATATCGATCGTATAAGTAGCACACACCACACCTTTTCCTACTATGGGATTTGAATTGCCAATTCGATCTATCTGCGTGTTAATGTGGTATGACAGCTTGAACTGATGTACATACGTGCGTACGAAGTTCTACATTATAGCTGACAGACTATCTGATTGAACATTTAATGATATGGCATCATAAAACGTTTAAATTTATCCTTGTTATCAATTTTCAATTATAAAATTATCATTGTCTAACTGTATTCTTTAAAAATTTACAAACATTTACATTGTTTGAATGCACATAACTAACTGTTTGATATTTGATTTCAATTTTCTTTCTCCCTTTTTGTTTAGTTAAAATAATGATGATTATTATCTTAGATTTGATTGGTTTAATGCTAACTATACTTGGAATTACATTTCTATTAAGTGGAATATTTTCATTGAATCTAAAACGCAAAAAGACATTTTATCGTGCATCAATTATTTTACAAATATTTTCTTGTAAGTTGTTTTGATTATTTTTTTAATTTTATTTTAAAGATAACATTTTGATAGAATCAATAATAGTTTTTTTCTAGAATTTCACCTTTTTTTGATGTTTTAATTCATTGACTTAGAATATGCCGATGACATAGTTCTATTTGGTGAAGACGCTGACAAAATGCAGAGTCTTCTGACTGCCCGAAGCAACAATACAAGCATGTTCGGGATGCGGTTTTCCCCCTCGAAATGCAAGATGTTGCTTCAAGATTGGTTTGAAGTAGTCGAACTTGTAGACCGCTTCACTTATCTGGGAAGTCTTATCAGTGCTGATAGCCTGGTGACTAACGAAATCTCAGCTCGGATACAGAAGGTTCGATTGGCTTTTGCCAACCTGCGTCACTTATGGCGTAGGAGAGGTGTCCGTTTGCTTACCAAAGGACGAGTGTACTGCGCAGCAGTTCTCTCCGTCTTACTTTGTGGCTGTGAAACATGGCCAGTGAGAGTAGAAGATATTCGTAGGTTACTGGTTTTCGATCATAGGTGTCTTCGGAGCATCGCTCGTGCATCGTGGGACACCCGAGTGAGCAACGCTGCCAGGTAAGAATGGCAGATGAATAGATGAAGTAATGAAACTTCATCAGTTGAGGTGGTTGGGACATGTGTTGCGTATGCCCGACCACGGACTGCCTCGTCGAGCTTTGTTTTGTAGTGTAGGAATAGGGTGGAAGAAAGTTAGGGGCGGCCAAACCAAACCATGGCAGAAATCTATGAAGTTTTTGACGAGTGGACTTAGCCATGTCGGTAATTGTCGACTACGTGGTTGGGGTCCGCGAGATGATAATAATCGATGGTTAGAGACCTTGAATGACATGGCTCAAAATCGTTCGCAATGGCGCCAGTGCATTTACTCTCTGTGTTCACTCAAATCCTAATCTTCTGGATTCTTCAACAACTTTAGTTTTGACTTTCTAAACTTTACTCACTGAATCATACTTCTTGAATAATATCTTCTAATCCTAACCTCTCCGATTACTTCTAATACCTTTACTACCTCTACTACTATTGTATTTGAATTGACAATTACATCTCTGTGCTGATGTAGTATGGCGATATGAACTCATGTACTTACGTACGAAGTTCTACATTGCATCTGACTGACTGTATTCATTGAAAATAATCAATCATGTTCAAGCTCATCGGGATGTTTTATTGGTTTATTGAATAATGTGATTAGTAGTTGTACGTGAATGATTAATAAGTTATGCGATTATTGTCAATTTGGTCACAATAACTGAAACACAGAATGCACTAATTAAAATTACACAATCTGGGCAGCATCTTTGATAAACAAGGTGGATCTGATGTCGATGTAATCTCACGGATTGGTAAAATAAAGGTATCATTTCTTCAAATGAAGGTTATCTGCAACTCAAAACAACTATCGATCAACAAACACCAAAGTAGCAATTATCGATACAAATGTCAAGACATTACTACTGTATGGAATGGGAACTTGAATAATGATGAAAGGCATCATTCACAAGACAGAGATGTTTGTTAACAGTTATCTATACAAGATAATACACAGATGTTAGATAGACATCATTAACAACAACTTACTGCGGGAGAGAACAAACCAGATTCCAGTTGAGGAGAAAACGTTGTTAGTGGATAAGATATACATTGCTGAAATCATCTCAACTGTATCATGATGCAAGGCCTAACTTAAAAATCTTCAAGACCAAAAGAAAGGAGGAAAATCAAAGGACACATTGTGCCGAGAATGGTGAGCAAATATAGAAAGAATGAATGGCAGTTGACTTGAACTGGAAAGGAAGAAGGTCCAGGATATAGTAGTAGGTTGTAAAACGCTAGTCGGTGGGGATTATGCTCCATCAGAAGGTAACTTGTTTAAATAAGTCATCTATAGACAGACAGATTTATAACGCGAAATTCAACAATATGATTTCTTGAAATTCTAAATTACAGTAAATAGTCCTATCGGTAGACAATAGTTATCAAAACGTCGCAAATAAATGTCAGTTACCAACACATATGTAATTATTAATTTGATAAGGAAAAGACGCATGAAAAGTGATAACAGAAATTAATTTCATAAACTTATCAACTAAAACAAAACATGAATAACAATACCTACTGATTACTATAGATATATTACATCCCCTCAGTCGCAAATAACTTACGTTTCCTACATGGAGTCTTTCTTATCTTTCAAAACACATCATTGTCTAGTAATACGAATTGAGAAAATAAAATTACTATAGTAACCAGACAAATATGGGTAATAGTTTCAAAATAGGAATAATGTGAAAAGATTCTTATCATCAGTTTATTTCTAATACTAGACGAATACAAATCAAAAATTTTACAGAAATCTTCATAAATCACTTCAAAGTTGTTCGTCGTCGGAAAATCCACCAATCATATCACAGAAGCTTGTCAGCCAATCAAATAAGAAGGACTCAATTTAGAGAACAGCCAATCACTGCAAACTATACTCTATCCGTTGTAAACAATTGATCAGTAGAAAAATAAAATCTAATTTACTGGAACACATCAAACACTTGATTAGTCAGACCAACATTTTTCAAATTTACTACACAACTGATAAAAAATTGAATCGGTTGGTGTAAGAAAACTTGCTGCTAGTTGACACCAAATAAGTTTTACATGTCAGTATCGCGTTGCAGTCAATGTAAAACCGACATATTGAACATGATTTCATGATTTCAGTAAAACTAACCAATTTTCGCAACCGTATTCTGTCAATTTTCATGTGCTCATTAGTGAAGATATTCTTTCAGTTGTACTGGGAAGTTGTGTTCAGTAGAGCACAACCATGTCAGGTGTGAGGCAGTTACGCACTGAAGACAATTGATGATGGTTGCTCACTACTGTGGATCAATCGAAATTAGACATTGACACAGTTGGATGCCGTTTCATTTGTTTAAAGGTTAAGCGTTAACTCACGGGACCAAATATCCCGAGTTCGGTTCTCGCTAGCGGGTTCGTGAACGTGCACTTCTGCTGAATTCAATACTAGGACTAAATAACCGTCAACTGTGTACAGTTTTCCAATGGGTTCAAAAATATCTGATTATTCTAGAAAAAATAACTTCAAATAATAAACTACGGATACAATTAAAGCGATTTCCTTAATAGATATCACAAACTTTAGTTACCTTACATAAACTGAATACTTTTGAATGCCAAGTGGATTTTTCCCTAATAAAAAGATTAATCTTAACACTTAACTAACATCAACTGGAATATTAATTAAAACAAGTGTAAACTAAATAGTTGTTTCGTTTTGATTGGATACTTTTCAACTTGAACACATGAATGATCTTAACCTGTTTTTTTGTTAGGATTTTAAGTGGATGCGTCAATATTCAGCATAGATCTCGAATAGGACAGAATTTGTATCGTGAACATTATTTACAGTCATTGTTCAAAGATATCATGTGTAGCTAACCAGTCTAGTGGCCTGCGTTCGATTCGAAGTACGGCTCATTGATTTACAAGGCCTGCAATCTGACTCCTACCTATATGGGCGAACAGTCGCGTATGCTATGAAATAAATCTTCCCTTCAGTATCTGTATATCATATATAATTAGGTGAACCCCTTTTTGTGCGATGAGGGTAATAAAAAGTCAAATACAATTCTGCAGAGACTAAAAAGCATAAAGTCGATACGAAGCGAAGTGGATAAGGCGGCGAGCAAGCCAAATCCATACTGATGTGACAAACATAAGCTAAAAACATGTGACAAGTGAAATGAGCAATGCACATACACAACCAAATAAGATCAACTAAAGTTATAAGCAAATAAGGTAGAGAGATGTGTGAATAATAACTCGAGAAGATTGAATTAGTTAATTTGTCCAAAAACTGGGACAAACCTTGTAGGCTTGACATATTAGTACACAGACACACACACACACTACAATAAAAATCGAAATGAATACCATTTTTTACAGTTTAGTTTGGCCAATGACCACCAGTCGATTAGTACAGAATATAAAATGAGTCATCAAGTACTTCGATTTGAATAGCCAAATTTGTTAATGATGCATTTCTTGTCTATTGATAACATTGAACACATGAATCGATAAATTTTTATGTGTTTCAGCAATTAATTTTTAATTCAGTAGTTTGAAAGAATCATAAGATAAATTTTAAGATATGAACATGAAGTTAAGTTATGAGGACTAGATTGAATGTGGATTTATAAATTGCAAAGTAGTTGTCTTCACTGTTTCTCCTCTGATTTTTATTATGATGTTTATGAAAGGTACACGATAAAAGCTACTTCGAAACATTTATTTTAGTTCTAGGTTGAAATTGTTCAACCATTAACTTATATTATGCCTTAGAAAATCGAACACAAAACCTTTAGATTTCATAAAAAGCATGGTAAAAGTAGGATATACTGACAACATTGAACGGTCTATTAGCCAATCAGGAAACAGTGTTTGGTTATGAAACAAGTGATAACATGAACCAAATGAAATATTAATTTTGAGAAAATAGTTTTTAACTGTATGGTTATCCCTTACATGTTGAATTATTCCGAAGCAGTGAAAGGAAAAGGTTCAGTTCACCTATTAAAGGCGTGCTAAGGTTTTTATTTAGAGTTATCAATGGACCAACCAAATCACTATTGATGTAGATGCCTTGGAAGACGTTAACACCTTTACATATCTTGGCAGCATCATCGACACCCAACGTGGATCGGATGCAGATGTGAGGGCACGGATCGGCAAAGCGAGAGCTGAATTTCTATAGTTGAAAAATATCTGGAACTCCAAACAACTTTCAACCAAAATCAAAATAAGGATTTTCAATACAAATGTCAAGACAGTTCTACTGTATGGAGCGGAAACATGGAGAACTACCAAAAAGCCATCATCCAGAAGATACATGTGTTAATGAACAGTTGTCTACGCAAAATACTTCAGATTCGTTGGTCAGACATGATCAGCAACAACGAACTGTGGGAGAGAACAAACCAGATTCCAGTGGATGAGGAAATCAGGAAGAAGCGGTGGAGTTGGTGGATAGGACACACACTACGAAAAGCACCTAACTGCATCACGAGACAAGCCCTCACATGGAACCCTGAAGGCAAAAGGAAAAGAGGAAGGCCAAGGAACACACTACCCCGAGAAATAGAGAAAGATATGAGAGGAATGAACAAACATTGGACAGAACTAGAAAGGGAAGCTTTTAGACAGAGTTGGTTGTAGAAAACTGGTGGGTGGCCTATGCTCCATTGTGGGTAACGGGCGTAAGTAAGTAAGTAAGTAAGTATCAATGCTCATCAAAAACATGGTATGAGGTTGTGCAAGACTGAAGGTCTTGAGTTCCATTCCTACGAGTATTGGGAGTCGTGCATGAACAATGTTGATGAGTCTCATACCAGTGCTTCCAATATTCAAATGGTGATCTAACGTTAATCAATCCATAATTTCAAAACATAATATTATCATGATCATAATTGCACTGATATTAATTATCTAACTGGATAACTTATTCAATCTGATTGAAATGTTTTATAGCTTGAGAATATTTATTTCTATCACCTCTTAAAATTTTATTATAAACCATATGGCGAAATTTTCAAATTAATTTTATTTTTAAATATTTTTTTCAAAATATTGAATTTAAATTTATTTAAATTCACTATATTTATATTGATATTTATTTGATTTTTTTTAGGTATCGCTATGTTATCCACTTTAATTCTATTGGTTATTGAATGTTTAAGCGAAGCAAATGAAAATTCTCTAACTGAAACTCAATCATCAATGATTACAGTTGGTTGGTCATTGATTATTGTTTGTTGTGGTATTGTGATACTTGGCATTGCAATATGTCTGATTTTATTTGATAAAGGTGGTGAAGAAATTGAATATCGTGAAACAATTCATCGATCTTCAAATTTTATCGAAGAATCATAAAGATCGGATGAAAGAAACCAAAATGAAGCAGCATAGACAGAGGAGATGAATGAATAAAACGATAGAAGAATAAAAACAGGATGAAATAATTCGAATGAACGAACAAATAATTAAATAAATAAGCGTTCAATAATCAATACTAATAGTGCAGATATTGACTGATTTTCTATGGCTTAAAACACACACACATACACACAAAACACAAACATTCATCATACATAACACACTATAAACAGGTGTGTACACATCATTCATTGTACACAGACACAGACACACACATGAATGTGATCGATATGCAGACTAAATTTAAACTGACCAATTGGTATTAAGTGACTTTTTCAAATTAACCAATAGGCTGTTTGCTTTCTCTTTCTTTTTTTTTTCAAATATGGTTGTTTGCACTTTTGTTAGTAGAAGAAAAAAAATGAAAAGAGAAAAGAAAAATTCACATTCTTAACAGGATTTGATTGATTTTTTTTAGCCATGTTAAGAAGATTAAAGTATAGTTAAGTTAGTAAGTTGATTGGAATAATTAATTGTACTATTCTAAAATAACTCAACAATCTCCACAACCTCATAATGTAAATTACATTCGTTCACTAGGAACTAGCTTTGTAAGGTCCTTCGAGTTCTAGTGGGAAATCATGACCAATGTAGTTAAACCCTGTTCCAGTGCTAAGAAGTGCTCACTGAAGACAGTGGATGCGCTTGGGCAAAAACCGTTGATTGGCGAAAGTTAGATGCCGGCTTAATGGTGGCGATAACGAAGTCTCTAGGTTCGATTCTATGGAGCACAGGTTGTGGAAAAGCACTGCTGATGAGTCCTATAGTAGGACGAAACAGTCATACAGTACAGCAGACCCTGGTTTCTGATCGTCGTCTAACTTTGATCGAGTTATGATCTCAAAAACTTATTCAATAAAGGTTCTCAATGAGTTTAGATACAAAATTGAATTATCATTGGGACTTATTGAATTGTATTTGTACTCAGTAGTTTAAGAATATTGTAGTGGAGTTTCGTCCTCTGAGGTGGATACTTTGATTGTGGAACTTTCATTGTTCTTCATCAGCACAAACTTCAGGTAGAATATCACAGTTCCTAAGAGACTAGTAGTTCTTGATCAATGAGAACAAAATTTAGATTTTGAGTTTCCTGTCAACCATCTGACATTGTCTTGTGTCACATATAGATTTTAACTTAGCACTTAGTGGTGTTTGGTAAACATTTGTCGTATACTGACTTCTTTAATGGTTATCTTGTCAAATAATTATTTGAAGGACCAATCACAATAAAAAAGGGCTTATGACTATTTGTTTTGAATTTTGCTAATCCGATTATAATTTCAAGAAAGTAGATACTTTTTGGATATGTTTTCATGTTTGAAGACAGCTATGTCGGTAATTGTTCGGGATGTTAGATCCCCAGAACTCGCTTGATAAATACCTTATTTTGGATTTCACCTTTGCCAGCATGGGCTGATCAGTTGACCTTGAGATTTCATTTCTCACTAGGAAAATCCATGGCTGTGATCGGCTGTTGTGTATTTTAGTGTGCTAATTTCTTAACTTTCCCAAGGACGTTTCTATGTTGTACAAATTAACGAGAGTTGTATGCTTGGTTGTATTGTGATTGCTGGGTGTTTGTAGAATATACTTTCTACGCTTATCAAGACTTCTATTTTGCAGTTTGGGATCAAGGTAGCTTACCTGGACGCTGGTTCATTGTCTCGTTCACGTTTGTCAACTAAGATGAACTCGTAATAGCTTCAAGTGTACCTAGTGACGAACATAACAGTAATCATTTGTTGAGCTAAAACAAAAACCGGTCTTAACTAGATCATTATTTCACAGCTAAACGATCTCGAATCATTTTCTGACCAACATCAAAGTCACAATTTTCAATACAAATGTCAAGACAGTTCTACTGTATGAGGTAGAAACTTGAAGAACTATCAAATCCATCATCCAGTAGATACAAGTATTTATCAAGCGTTGTCTAAACAAAATACTTCAGATCTGTTGTCCAGAAACTATCAGCAACAACATATAGTGGGAGAGAACAAACCAGATTTCAGCAGACGAATAATTCAGAAAGAAATTTTTTGGAACTAAATAGGACATACATTGAGGAAAGCATCCGAATGCGTCACATGATAAGCCCTCAATTGTAATTCATAAGGCTAAAGGAAAAAAGGAAGACCACAGAACGCAGACATGAAAAGAATGAATAAAAATTGAGTAGTTTGAGAAAGGAGAATAGATGTACGCCTCATTCTATTCTGCACTCATCAGCCGGATGTATCTGAATTTCAAAGTTCATACTCACTTGTGGACTCAAATCTAGTACAGTTCACTTCAAATGCCATCATATGTATATCCACTTAATTATTGAGTTCAGATAGTCACACTCACTAATGCAACAGGATGAAGATTAATTCATTTTCACAGGTTATTTGAATCTACCTATTAATGTTTAGGACTGTAAATGATCAATCTCTTTGAAATATATGCATCATGTCCAGATTGTCTCGATATTACTTTTAGATTACAAGTAGAATCTAGGGATGAGCATTTCATCTTATGTGTGACTCGTTAGCTAGTACATACAACAATTTATCATGAAATAATTCAATGGTGTATTGGGTACAGTTGCAAATTATAGAAAATGTAAAAAAAAATAAAATAAAATTATGTGAAGTTGTGTTTGTTTTTTAAAATAAATTAGTAGTATCTTCTTTTTCTCTACATAAAATCCATTATTCGGTCAGAGTTCACAGTGATGCAGTTCAATCAATCAATCAGTCAATCAATAGCAACGTAGAACTTGGTACGTACGTATATCAGTTCATGTTGCCATACCACATTAGCACAGAGATGTAATTGTCAATTCAAATCCAATAGTAGTAGAGAGAGAGACGCAGCATACATCTATGGAGCGAGATTCTAAAGTCTTAGCTAATGAAGCTTGTCGCCCTATTTGACGCAATGTCCGTACATTAAAAGCTCCAACATATAGTCTAGAATGGGGTTTCAGGATATCAGGAATAACGTTTCGTAAACTCGCATCGTTTGCATTAGCGGTGCAGTCAGATAAGGGAATGTGAGTAGATATAGTCGTAGAGATAAGAGAGATATTAGGGGGTGTATAAAGGATTTGATTTTGACCGATTCGGTCTCGTGTTTTGTTACTGGTATGAAGGCGCTTGTCGATTTCCGGCTGCCCACACCGTGGAAGGTTGTTTCTTGAGGGACCTGAAAAGGAAGGTAGATTAGTGTCGATCTTAGAGACCCGGGATCGTGACCGCAGAGCCCAACAGACAACTACTTGAGGTCGGTCACGCACGGCCTTTTTATGAAAGGATTTTTGATGGTTAGCTCCGTTCTTAAAGGCCCTAAGTGGGCACCCTTACCCAAGGAGACGGAAATCCGTGAGGTAGGGGAGGTGTGACATTTTTAGAGTCGACCTTTTCTAACCCTTCCTTCCTTGTGAGAAGGCAGCATTGCTGCAGGTGCTGGTTATCCGAGGGAAACACCTTACTGCTGTCACACCTTCCTGCAGTCAGCAGTACGACTTCACCCTCAGACCTTGAGTAGCTGCTTTTAGTCTCATCGTTCTCCAGTCGACCTGCATGGCGTGGTAGAATGTTCAGGAACATATATTCCATCCAATATAGCTCGGTAGGCAAGCCAGAACACCACGTCAAGGTAGCAGCTTCGGTCGGGATCTGAGTGCATTGCTTACCTTGCTTATCAGATGTCTAGCTTACTCTTCTCTTACCATAAATATCTAGTTATCTCTCAGCTGATTGAATTGGCCTAACTCACCTTCTCCGTTTCTCTTCACTTCACTTCACTTCACGTTACTGTTACTCTTTTTATCTTCATTTCTGTCTGCGTGAACGATTTCACAAAATAAAATTATCCACAAAGCTTTATTCAACTTCTTATTACCGCGGTCACACAAACAGAAAGTTGAAGGGAAGATTTATTTCATAGCATCATCAATCGAATCGGGATTAGATCATGGGTCACCAGAGTGGTGAACGGGACGTGATTACGAAGTTTTCAATATATTTATTCCAGCGCAACGACAATATGGTGTAATAAGCCGTAAAGAAGGTCAGTCTTTTAAAAGATCTTAATATCTCCCACATCGTTAGGAAGGTCATGGATGTGAGGTACTGGATATCTATCTACTTACAATGATAATAATAACAATAATAATAATCTATAAATTATTTTTGAAAGTCATTATCCCTTCAATCTCTTCGTTCTTATGTAACAAATGAGTGTTAAATGGCTGAGTTGAACTTGAAGTCGAGCTTACCAATTTTAGTGGGCTGCATTGAGTTCGTCGTTGAGCTCATCACTTTAGTGATTTGTAAGCTGACTCCTCTTGTTTTTAAGCATGTTCGAGAATGTTATGAACCAGGTCTCTCATCCAGTTTCCGTATACATCATACTTAGGCGAACCGTGTTTGTGCGATGGCAGTAATAAGAAGCCGAACACGGATTCGGTTGAATGAGTTTATTTCATCAATCAATTAATCAATCATTAACAACGTAGAACTTCGTTTGTACAACAGTCTATGATGGCATACCACATTAGCACAGAGATGCAATTGTCAATTCAAATCCAATAGTGGTTAGACGTTCGCGCGCAAGACCGAAGGTCCTGGGTTCGAATCGTGTGAGTTACAGGAGTCGTGGATGTTCACTGCTGATGAGTCTCATACGAGGTAGATAAGGCCGTCCAGTGTTTCTAGGTTTCTACTAGTCGTCTAACAATGATTGATTAATGACTTCAATGTATAATAAGGAAATCGTCTAATTATTTTGAAGACAACTTGATCAAGGGCCCAACAATGTCCACATTTTCGTTGTGGAAGATTCTCATAGAATAAACAATGCGATAAATGATTGTGGTGGTGTTTCGTTCTCTGAGCTGGTTGTTTTGGTTGTGGAGCTTTCATTGTTCTTCTTCTGAACAACATCATCAG